CGCAACTACGTCCGGCTAATTTTTTGTAATTTTAGTAGAGACAGTTTCAGTATTGGCCAGGCTGGTCTCGAATGCCTGACCTTGTGATCCACCTGCCTCGGCCTCCCACAGTGCTGAGATTACAGGCCTGAGCCACTGCACCTGGCCCAAGATCCTGTTTCTCCATTAAAAAAAGTTATAAATCAGGGCAGGTGCAGTGGCTCACGCCTGTAATCACAGCACCTTGGGAGGCTGAGGTGGGCAGATCATCTGAGGTCAGCAGTTTGAGAGCAGCCTGGCCAACATGGAGAAACCCCATCTCTACTAAAAATACAAAAACATTAGCCGACCATGGTGGCATACACCTGTAATCCCAGCAACTTGGGATGCTGAGGCAGGAGAATCACTTGAACCTGGGAGGCTGAAGTTGCAGTAAGCCAAGATTGTGCCATTGCACTCCAACCTGGGCAATGGAGTGAGACTCTGTCTCAAAAAAAAAAAAAAAAGTTATAAATCAAAAGAAATTCAAGACAAAACTGAAGACTGAGTAGAAGAAAACAATTTCAAAATCACTGATCGAGACCTTGTTCTTTCATAATTATTAGTTTATTAAAACTTTTAGTTGCATTAGAATTTATAAGGATATCACGATGAGTTTTGGTGTTCAGTTTTTTGCATGTTTGGGGTTAATCTAAGGTCAATAATATCTTTGTTCAGAGACTTAATATGTTTTTTCTTTTATTTGAGATGGAGTCTCGCTCTTATCACCTAGGCTGGAGTTCAGTGGCACGATCTTGGCTCACTGCAACCTTCGCCTCCCAGGTTCAAGCAAACCTTATGCCTAAGCCTCCCGAATAGCTACCACACCTGGCTAATTTTTGTTTTTAGTAGAGACAGGGTTTCACAATGTTTGGCTGGCTGGTGTCAAACTCCCGACCTCAAGTGATCCACCCTCCTTGGTCTCCCAAAGTGCTGGAATTATAGGTGTGATCCACCACTCCTAGCCAATATCTTTAAAAATAGAAATATAAACAAAATTGATAAATAAAATGACTTTTACTGTTGATATCAGTTTTGTTTGATCTGAAGCTATAGAGATACATCTACCTACCTATGTATGGATGGATAATATTATTTCACATTTGTGAAAAGCTTTATAGTTTTTCAAAGTACTTTTATTCACTTTATCTCATAGATGTTATCTCCTCTGATTCTAGCAACAAGAGCCCTGTGAGGTAGCCAGGGCAAGTATGTATTTTACACAACATTAGCAGGAATGGAGGCTAAGAGAGGTTTATGTAACTCCCTCAGGCTGAAACACTGAAAAAAAAAAAAAAATTGTGACTCTCATTTCAGTGATGTTTTCTGCATTGTATTATGGTACTCTTCACTATATTATGTTGATGGTTGAAATGTCATTATAAAGCTTGATTTATATGATTCTCTTGATGAGGCTGATGAAATAAACTCTATCAACTCACTAGTTTTACAGGGGCAACCATTTTCCCACATTTCACACATGATTTGATTACCTGTGTCCTAAGTGAATAATATTGGGGTATGAAAAACATGATTTGAAAACAGTACACCCCACTATATTATTTCAACAAATAACCATCTTTCACACCTCTCTAAGTAAAAAAAAAAAAAAAAAAAAAAAAAAAAAAAAAAAAAAAAAAAAAAAAAAAAAAAAAACCTGAATGATGCATGTGATCAAGTCAAAATTGGGTATCTTCTGCTTCTTCATTGTGATGAAGAATGTTGCCTGGATTCCTTCCATGTAAAGACTTGATTGTCAGACCTGTGGCAGAACTCTAGATCTGATTTTGGGGAAGCCAACAGGACAAAACCCAAAAGCTCAACTTTCTGTATGGTATGCATGATTCAATGAGCTTTTGCTGCTTTGGAGTCTGTTGGCCAGGAGACTTGGATATGATAAGGCTTCAGTTCCTCAGGAGGAATAGAATCTGGGGTATTGCTCATGAGGTCATGTCCCCGGAAGGACTTTGGGAAGGCTATGACATCTCGGATGCTTGGAGATCCAGTGACGAGGCATATTAGTCTGTCTAACCCTGTGAGTAAAATACAAAGATAACAGATGAGAAATGTAATGTTGGAACTAACTTAGTTTTTCTATAAAAGTTGTAGAGAACTTTTAAATATGAATCTTTAACAAACTGTAGCCAACCATAGTTCTCTACCTTTTTAGAGAACTTGTATTGTTTGAGGGGTTCTTTTCTATGTAATTCTGGAAGAGTACTCAGGACTAATAATGTTCACATGCTATTTGGGTTATCACAGCAATTAGTGTTCCTAGCAAGGGCTTACTAAAGGCCCTAAAACAGGTTTAACAATGTATTTGGTGCTTGGCAGGGAACTCCATAAACAGACGGAAGTTCCTGTTGCTACGGCCTACAATCTAGGTGAGCTTCCTAGAATGTCTCACTCTTCCTTGCTTTGACAAAACAAGCAAAGTGAGTAACCATGGCAAACAGAAGAATGCTGGCATATTCCTGTTTTCATACAAGCTGAACATTATGGAGCAGTGCTTTCCAGATCCAGTGAGAGTGTCTGTGAGGCTACAGGGATTTGAACAATATTGACTTAAGGTCTGCAGTTTTAAACTACACATGATCTTTCAAATGCAAATTCTCAGTTAAATTATATCTTTATAACTGCTAAGATATATTTAAAATATATATTATTGAAATTTATTATACTTTGGGCTCTGGGGTACATGTGCACATCCTGCATCCTGCAGGATTGTTGCATAGGTACATACATGCCATGGTGGATTGCTGTCTCCCTCTTCCCCCTGCCATTACTGAAATTTAAACAGAAACTTATAGTCTCATGGAACTCTTAGACTTCTCCGTCCACCTCCACCACCACAAACTTGAGAGCCCGAATTTGAGACAGTGCAATGGAATTCAGTTTAGCTTATAAAAGGAAAAATTATTTACCTAAGGCAATTCCTCCATGAGGGGGTGCCCCATAATCTAAAGCCTGGAGTATATGGGAGAGCAATTTCACATCTTCCTGAAATTCAAAAGATAATTCAGTTTAAATATATGTTGAAGGTCCATTAAGGGCCACCATCTAGGCTTAGATGATAAAGGGAAAACAAAGTTGAGTTTTAAAACACCCAAACCTGACTTAACTAATAATAAAAACTTATTGGAAAAGTGTAAAGAAAAAATTACCTTAAGTGATTTACAAGTTAGCAAGGGAAAAAGACAAGTCATAGATGACATTAACATGTACAAAAATGCCTGGTATTCAGTAAATGCAGCTTTTACTGTATTCACAATGCAAACAGAGTGAGACCAAATGAGGTGAAGATGAAAAGCAGGGAACTCTCCTGTCACAGAGACCAAGGGAAGAGAACATTACTAAGTGGGCGACTTGTCAAATGCTGCTGGGAGGAAGGAGAGCTTAAGGGTCAAGAAGAGGCCACTGGATTTGGTGACCATGTGAGTAACTTGTAGGGCAGTACTTGTAGAAATGTTGAAAGTGAGTTTGAAAATGGTTCTCCAACCAGGTTATAAATCAGGACCAAGGGGGAAGCTTCAAACAAACATGCCAAAGCCTCATACTCGGAACTTTTTATGCAGTTGGTCTCATGTGTGGCCAAGGCACCAGTGTATTTTTTTTTTTAATGCTTTCCAGGTGATTTTATTTTAAGGTGCAGCTGGGGGGAGAACCACTGTTTAGGGAAGCAACAGAAGTAATGTATTCTAGGCCAGATGCAATGGCTTACTCCTGTAATCCCAGCACTTTGGGAGGCCAACACAGGCAGATCACCTTCGGTCAGGAGTTTAAGACCTGCCTGGCCAACATGGCAAAACCCTGTCTCTACTAAAAATACACACACACACGCACACACTCACTCACACACTAGCTGGGTGGTGGTGTGTGCCTGTAGTCCCAGCTACTCAGAAGGCTAAGGTAGGAGAATCACTTGAACCCGTGAGGTGGAGGTTGCAGTGAACTGAGATCACGCCACTGCATCCAGTCTGGGTGACAGAGTGAGACTGTCTCAAAAAAAAAAAAAAAAGAAGTAATGTATTCTTACTGACTCTTTTGAGAAGTTTCACAGTCAGAGGAATGAAAAAGGCTGAAAACTGGTGACTAGAAGCTGGGCTGGGCAGGAGGATCACTTGATTCCAGGAGTTTGAGGCTGCACTGAGTTATGATCATGCCATTGCACTCTAGTCTGGGTGACAGAGTGAGACTCCATCTTTTTAAAAACAAACAAACAAATGCACAAAACTCAAATGGTGATTGGAGGCTTTGACTTGGCAAAGTTAACAGATTTTGGCCGGGTGTGGTGGCTCACGCCTGTAATCCCAGCACTTTGGGAGGCCAAGGCGGGTGGATCTCTTGAGGTCAGGAGTTTGAGAGCAGCCTGTCCAACATGGTGAAACCCTGTCTCTACTAAAAATACAAAAAAATTAGCCAGGTGTGGTGGCACGCACCTGAAATCCCAGCTACTTGGGAGGCTGAGGCAGGAGAATTGCTTGAACCCAGGAGGCTGAGGTTGCAGGGAGCCAAGATTGTGCCACTGCACTCTAGCCTGGGAGACAGAGCGAAACTCTGTCTCAGCAACAACAACAAAGTTAACAGATTTCACAATACCCTTAGACTTTAAGGACATTGAAGGCTTAAAGCTAAAGGAGTCATCTTATAGTCAGAGTTCTCCAATCCTGCTCTCACATATGAAGTTCTTCCGTCCTACCTCACACTTGTCAGTTAATCCCACAAAATGGTCTTTCAGGACCAAACTCTCTAGTCCTGAAAGACGTTTTCTTTTGAAACCTACCCAAGCCTTCTATAGCATCACCAACAAACTTCAAATTATTAGGTCTGCACCTGTATAGACTCTTCTTTTTCTTTCAAAAATCCTGATTACTCCACTATCACTAAAATTATATACCCACCTTAAATATAGCTAAAGTAGTATCTAATAAGTGATATAAAATCTTTTCAAACTTCTTCTCCAACATTATCAATTTTAGTCACTTCCAACTGCATGTTTTTCATTTTATTTTATTTTTTTTCAAGCTGCATGGTTTTCTTAAGCAGTATAGTGGTTAGGAGCATGGGCTTTAGAGGCACCCCGCAGGGTTCAAATCCTGACTCTGCTTACTTTTGTACTGTCACTTTGGCAAGTAAGCTGCCTCAGTAAATCTCATCTTTAGAGTGGGCAGAATAAAGACATTTATTTGCACTACTATAAGGGTATTTAATATGCACTATTAATTAGTACTTAAATAGTGCTGTTTAATAGTGCTATGAGCCAGATACTATTTAAGTATTTAATATTATTATTTACTTTTAATATTATTATTTACTTTTCCAAGTCCTACATTAAAGGTAGAGAGATAGCTGATGCTATTTTGTATCTTGTGAATCCTCCATTCATAACAAATGTTTAATAAAATAGGCTGATTTAAGTCAGATGTGGTGGCTTATGCTTATAACCCCAGCACTTTGGGAGGCCAAGGCGGGAGGACTGCTTGAGAGCAGGCGTTTGAGAGCAGTGTGAGCAACACAGGGAAACCTTATCTCTACAAAAAAATTAGTCAGGCATAATGGCATGTGCCTGTAGTCACAGTTACTTGGGAAGCTGACGTGGGAGGATGGCTTGAGCACAGGAGGTTGAGATTGTAGTGAGCTGTGAATGTACCAGTACACTCCTACCTGGGTGACAGAATGTCTCAAAAACAAAAACAAGCTAACAACAACAACAGGAAAAAAACAAAACTGAAAAATATTCTGGTAAAAAAATAAGCCCAGGATAGCAGATGGTGTTTGTTACCTTTAGTAAGGTTGCCAAGATATATCGCTGTAGCTCTGCATTGTGAATTCGAATCGAACCACCTCCTATCTCATTGCCGTTTAAAACCAAGTCATAGTGTTGGCTACGGACCTAGAAGATTCACAGAGACTTTAGGTTAGAGAAAATGTCTGGTTTTCTGTTCTACAGGTTGAAGACCCTGTAGATTCTTAAAGACAATGTATTAACTACTAACTCAAACCCCACAATTTCTTCTGAGGCTTCCAGAACTGGGTCCTATCTATCATCAGACTTTGAAGTCTGAAGTTCTTTGCCATTATATACATATTTCCTTTTGATTTGGAAGTAGAGATACAGTACCTTTTCGGGCTCAGTGTAAAGGAGGTGTATGTCACTGGGGTGGGGAGCGGTAAATGGGTGGTGGGCCGATTCCAGCTCCCTGGGATTTTCCTCCTTGGGGAGGAAGAGTGGGAAATCCACTACCCAAAGGAAAGAGAACAGAGTGGGGTCACGGAGCACCACTCCTCTTGTTTCTAGAAGGTCAGCACATTCCAGTCGTAATTTTCCCAACAAAGAGCACTGCAAACAGAAGACATAAACATTGAGTTAACTTCTTGACAGAACAGGCAGCAAATGACACAGCCTGGATTCTGAAGCCAGGCCATTCTCTAGGAAAGGATTAGCCAATTAACAGATAGGATGCTCATTGCCTCTCAGAACACAAAGATCTGAGGAATCTGACTGCAACATGGTTGAGAACAATTGTCAGACTCAACCAACTGGGTAAGTACCTAGTAACTCGGCGATTAAAAACACAGGGATCAGCAGTTCATAGACCTGGGTCTAAATCTCACTGTGGCTTATTACTAACTTCTCTGTAACCTTTTTCATTGTAAAATGGGGTTAAAAATATCAACTCAAAAAGACTGCAGTGAAGCTTACGTGAGATAATGTACGTAAGGTGCAGGGCCTGCCAAAGTATGTGAGTGGCAGTCATTCTGATTATTTCCTCACTTCTCCTGAAGGGTTGTGGTGAGGATTTGGTGAGTTCCTGGCACATGGTTAATGTTCAGTAAAGGCTGGCTATCACTACAGGTAATGTGGATTAGAGATTCATTTAAGAGTGTGGCTGAGCAGAGGGGCTCACACCTGTAATCCCAACACTTTGGGAGGCTGAGGCGGGGGGACCATGAGGTCAGGAGTTTGAGACTAGCCTGAGCAACATGGTGAAACTCCATCTACTATGAATACAAAAATTGGCCAGGCATGGTGGCATGTGCCTGTAATCCCAGCTACTTGGGAAACTGAGGCAGAAGAATCATTTGAACCCATGAGGCGGATGTTGTAGGGAGCTGAGATCCACTGCACTCTAGCCTGGGCGACAGAGATAGACTCAAAAAAAAAACGAGTGCGAATTTTGGAACCCAACTTCATGAGTTAGAAATCTGGCTCCTCCACTTCCTAGCTATGTGACTATGAGCAAAATTTTAAGCTCTGTGCCTCACTTTTCTTATTTTTAAAATAGCAACAGTATCAGAACTTCCCTTATAGGGTTGGCATGAGGGTTAAATGAGTTAATGTCTACAAAGTACTTAGAACAGGGCTTGGCAAATAGTAAGTGCTTAATAAGTGCTACCTATGGTGTGCAGAACTTCCCTGAGAAAGGACAGTTGGTTAGAACAGTGACATATGCCTGGAGACATGATAGGGTGTTATTTTGTAGCCCAGTCTATCTTATATTTATGTCTACATAAGGGACCTTCATTGTGACATTTTCAGAATGCTAATGTTATTCCTTGAAAGTCTGGTTTCTAGCTCTCTTTCAAGGAAGGCATTGTAGGAATCAGAACTATACCTTCCCGAGAATGAAACACCAGAATGTTTAGTTCATACCAAGAGAATGTTTAATATCCAAATAAGTTTGCAACAGAATCCTATGTTCTTTTTTAAGAAATGCATTCATAATAAAATTTGGAAATAAATTAGCTTTCTTTATTCTACTATTATAGGGGAAGGGGAGACAGGGCATTACATTCAGTTCTGAAGCTGGACTCTGAAACTTTTTCTTTGGAAGAAACAATGATAAATGAGAATATAGATTTGAAGAAAACTTGATGAAGTATGAGTCAGACATACTATCATTTTGAAAAAACTATGTACTAAAGTAAAACAATAAATTTATGCTTGATCTTTACAGTACATTTTAAATATTCATGTTTGACTTTGTACTATACTTTTCTATATCTTACAAAGATCCCTAAAGCTAATTCGGTCTTCCGTATCCCCCAAAGAATGCTGACTCAGCTAGTGCATGATGGCACCGCCACCTACAGCTGCTGTTTTTGAGGAAAAAGGGTCCTACTTTGACCAAGTTGGTCCAGGGGTGTCTGTGAACCCACCAGCTCTCCAGTGGTCTGATCCGTCCCTCCACAATTCAGGAATCCATTATGTACAAAAGTTTGAGACTACCTAATTTTCTTCATCTGTAAAATCTTGACACTGAAAATATTTTTTCATGGTCATATGACTAATTTCACTACCCCTTTATCTAAGCGGATTTCCCAGTTAGGGTCAGGTCTAATTAATGTCAATGGAGGCTGGTAGCTAATGAAAACAACCCTTTGTTGTTTTTTTTTTTTTTGAGATTTAGTTTTTGTTTTTTTTTCCCACCCTGGTTTGTACTCTTTTCTTTCTTTCTTCCTTTTTTTTTTTTTTTTTGAGACCAACCCAGGCTGGAGTACAGTGGCATGATCTCGGCTCACTGCAACCTTTGCGTCCCGGGTTCAAGTTATTCTCTTGCCTTCGACTGTTGAGTAGCTGAGACTACAAGTGCCTGCCACCACGCCTGGCTAATTTTTGTATTGTTAGTAGAGATGATCACATTGACCAAGCTGGTCTTGAACTCCTGATTTCAGGTGATCCACCAGTCTTGGCCTCCCAAAGTGCTGAGATTACAGGCATGAGCCACCGCGCCTGGCCCACTCTTAGTTTTCATATAGTGCATTATAAAGTATTGTAAGATTTATGCAGGCTGGGTGCAGTGGCTCATGTCTGTAATCCTAGCAGGTTTGGGATGCTGAGGCGGGTGGATTGCCTGAGCTCAGGAGTTTGAGACCAGTCTGGACAACATGTGAAATCCTGTCTCTACTAAAAATACAAAAAATTAGCCAGGCATGGTGGCGTGCGCCTGTAATCCCAGCTACTCAGGAGGCTGAGGCAGGAGAATTGCTAGAACCCAGGAGTTGGAGGTTGCAGTGAGCTGAGATTGTGCCACTGCGCTCCAGCCTGGGCGACAGAGCGAGACTCCATCTCTTAAAAAAAAAAAAGATTTATATAGAGCAGCTCCATTTTATGAATTAACAGTCTATAGTTCAAATATATACTATACACATAGGAGAGTAAGGTATTGTTCACCATCAACAGCATTGATGCTTGGAGGTAATTTTTCTTACTGCTTTATTGTGCTCTCCAGCCATTAGTAGGACCACATCTTCCTCTTGGGTCTCCATTAGTCTGATTAATTCTGGTCTTTTCGACTCCCTTATGAAGTTAGCAACTGGAGAATTCCAGTTTCTGTTGGTGTTAAGGAATACAGGTAAGATTTCCTGTGAAAAAGAAAAAGACTTATTCACACTTTTTTTTTAAACAGTGGGATTAATTTATCTTCTTATAGTACAAAGATTTCTGGTAGAAAAGAATTTTCTAGAAGAAGAGAATTTAAAAGATATTGTCTCTATTATCTCCCTGAACCCCTTCAAAATGATACTAAGGGAATTTTATAAAGTGGGCTTGGCATTGTGACTCATACCTGCAATCCCAGCACTTTGGGAGGCTGAGGTGGGTGGATCACTGGAGGCCAGAAATTCAACATCAGCTTGGCCAACATGGTGAAACCCCATCTCTACTAAAAATACAAAAATTAGCTGCGCCAGTTGTGTGCGCCTGTAATCCGAGCTACTTGGGAGGCTGAGGCATGAGAATCACTTGAGCCTGAAAGGTAGAGGCTGCAGTGAGCTGAGATTGGGCCACTTGAAACCAGCCTGGGCAACACAGTGAGAAAAAAAAAAAAAAAAAAAAAAAAAAAAGAGTGGGAGGAGGATGAAGAATGGAGAGTAATATCAGCAGATGAGAGATTTCTGTGACTTTTTGGCAGATTGCAAGTGACTTGAGCAGGAATGATTAAAGAAACAAGGTGCAGGAAGGTCTGGCATAAAGAACAATGGAAGTAGCCTCAGCATAAGGAACTGATTTTACCCTGCAGAGTTCTGGAGAGGCTCAGGACTTTTAAGCCTTGAATGCCTAGGATAACAGACAGCAGGGGATAGCCCTCTCTGGATTCCCCTCCTACAACAGCATGGGAGCTGTCTCGTCTCTTGCTCTGTCTCTAATAAATAGCTCTTCCACAAAACAACAACAACAACAACAACAACAACAAAAACAGACAGCAGCCTTGCTGCTCATGCTAAACTAAACCTAACCGTTTACAAAGCCTCTTTACGGATCTTGGGTTTCCAACCAGCTTTTTTTTTTTTTTTTTTTTAAGATGTAGTCTCTGTCACCCAGGCTGGAGTACAGTGGCCTGATCTTGGCTCACTGCAGCCTCTGCCTCCCGGGCTCAAGTGATTCACCTGCCTCAGCCTCCCAGTAGCTGGGATTACAGATGTGCACCACCATGCCTGGCTAATTTTTGTAGTTTTAGTAGAGATGGGGTTTCACTATGTTGGCCAGGCTGGTCTCAAACTTCTGACCTCAAGTGATCTGCCTGCATCGGCCTCCCAAAGTGCTGGGATTACAGGTGTGAGCCACTGCACCTGGCCCCAACCACGTTTTAAAGTGCCCCATTCTTGAATATGTACAAATCATCAACTCACCACACATTGAAGAAACTCCAACATAAACACAAAAAATAGCTCCAGAGAAAACAGATAATTTAGGGACCAAAAGAGGACTTGAATCCTCAAAGGTACTCGAAAAGATATTTTATGAGTAAAACCAGAATAATATGCAGTAAAAAAAAAAAAAAAACACAAAAAACTTATTGAAAAAAATTCAACAGAGAGTTGAAGAAAATCCCCAGGAAAACAGAACAAAGAAGACAAAGAAAATGATGAAAATGAGATGCAAAAGAAAAGAGACAAGTTAAATTGGTTCAACATATAACTAGTAGAAATTCCAAAGAGACTAGAAAAAACGATAGAGTCAAAATAATTAGATAATAAAATAATTTTCTACACATAAAAAGACACACTTTCATACTGAAAGGGCTTTTCAAGTGTGTAACACATGGAATGCAAAATGATCAAAAGGCAAACAAATTCTGAAATTTCATAAAGAATCAGAAGGCAGAAAGCTTCCAAAGAGAAAAAAATCGGGTCTGCTATAATAGAATAAATTCACACAAGCATCAAAGCATCAGACTTTTCATCAGTAACAACAGATGGAAGCAGAAAGTAAAGCAATGCCTTAAAAGTTCTAAAGCTGTGCTGTCTAGTGATGCACTGTGGCTATTTACATTTAAATTAATTAAAATGAAATAAAGTGAAAAGTTCAGCCCTTTAGTTGTACTAGCCTATTTCAAGTGTTCACTAGCTACATTGGCTAGCAACAACTATACTGATCAATGCAGACATAAGTCTATCATTACAAAAAGTTTTATTGAACAGCACTGTTGTAAGGTGATATGGCTGTCAATTCAAAATTTTGTACTAAGCCAAATTATTATTAATCAAGTGTGCAGTTTTAAACACAAATACATTTTGTAAGGACTCAGTAAATTGATCTCTTGTATGCTTTCTTAGGAAGTTACTTGATTATATACTCCAACACAAAAAAAGAGGAAAATCTAGGATCCAGGAAAAGTGGCTTCAACTCAGAAAAGAAATGAAGAAAAGGTTCAGAAAGACAGCTGTGCAGAAGGTACAGAGTAACTAGGTGAGGTCTGTATATGTGATATGTGAGCCTCATCTCTCATCATAGGAATTTAATAAGGTTTAACATGAATTAAGAAGAAAAAAAAAAGTATGTAGAGATATTTCCAAAAACAGAGATACTCTGGCAGAATACTAGGATGGGTGGGGCAGGCTAGAGTAAATGATTATTACATTTCACCATTAATGCTTCTTTATTTTTTGAGCCATTTGTATGCCATATGTTGCTAAAAATACAACGATCTTCGAAAAGCAATTAGAAGCCAAATCAAGTTAAAACATTAATAAAAAATAGTAGTACCCATTTCTTATATACAAATTCAGGAAACTAGGAAGGAAAAAGAAAACAGGAGAAGAAAGAAAAGAATGAAAGAAGAAAATGTAATAACAGTCCCATCAACTGAAGGCTGCCAAAGTTAACCTTCAGGCTTATTTTCTGGTCCTGTGGTTCTTAGATGCAGATTTTATATACTATAAAATAAAAATAAACAAAATTGGAAGCTAAAGCGTTGCCAATTTTTAACTTTATAAAGAAAAGCCATATTCCACCACCCCAACACCTCTGCAAAGACAGAAATAAAGGATAGTTCTTCAAATTTATTTAACTTTATTAAAAGCTTGTTATATTGCCCTGACTTTTCTGTTTTTGTCTCACCCCATTTTGGAAACTACTACCCTAATATTTTTTTCTTATATAAAAATCTACTTATTGTTCTTTGTGCTTGAGGTATGAGGCTTGGGAAATAGTGGCGATAGAGGTAGGTAGTCCATTTTCAGTATACAAATACAGTGTTTTCACATGGTTATGATCAGTATAAATATAATCCTATAGCCTCGTTTTGATACATGTCATTACAAAAGCATTTTTGCTCTATTAAGTCTTAGAAAACAAAATTTTAAAAAGGAACTTTAATATTCCTTTGATTATATCATAATTTATTTAATTACTCCTATATGGTTTCATTTTATTCCTGTTATCATACCTAAGATTCTTTCCCTCCCTTTTTTTTTTTTGAGACAGAGTCTCATGCTATCGCCCAGGCTGGAGTGCAGTGGCATGAACATAGCTCACTGCAGCCTCGATCTCCTGGGCTCAAGTGATCCACCCACCTCAGCCTCTCATGTAGTTGGGATGACAGGTGTGTGCCACCATGCCCAGTTAAATTTTTTTCTAGTTTTTATAGGGATGAGGTCTCACTATGTTGCCTAGGCTGGTCTCAAACTTCTGGGCTCAAGTGATACTCCCATTTTGGGCTCCCAAAGTGCTGGGATTACAGCTGTGCACTTCCTTGCCTGGCTGGATCCTTTATTTCTTTTAGACACAGGGTCTCACTCTGCCACCCAGGCTAGAGTGCAGTGGCATGATCATAGCTCATTGCAGCCTTGATCTCCTGGACTTGTGATTCTCCTGCCTCAGTCTCCCAAGTAGCTGGGACTGCAGACATGTGCCACTATGCCCAGCTAATATTTATTTATTTAGAGACCGAGTCTCACTCTTTCGCCCAGGCTGGAGTGTGGTGGCATGATCTTAGCTCACTGCAACCTCTGCCTTCTGGGTTCAAGGGGTTCTCCTGCCTTGGCCTCCCAAAGTAGCTGGGATTATAAATGTGTGCCACCACTCCCAGCTAATTTTTTGTATTTTTAGTAGAGATGGGGTTTCATCATGTTGGCCAGGTTGGTCTCGAACTCCTGACCTCAACTGATCTGCCTGCCTCAGCCTCCTAAAAGTACTGAGATTACGGGTGTAAGCCACTGTGCTCAGCCCAATTTTTTTTGGATATGGAGTCTTGCTCTGATGCCAGGTTGGAGTGCAGTGGCGGGATATCAGCTCACTGTAGCCTCGGCCCCTGAGGCTCAGGTGATCCTCCCACTTCAGCGTCCTAAGTAGCTGGGACTAGGGATACAACCGGGCGGCATGGTGGCCTGAGCCTGTAGTCCTAGCTGCTTGAGAGACAGAGGCAGGAGTGTTGCCTGAACCCAGGAAATCAAGGCAGCAGTGAGATACGACGGCATTACTGCACTCCAGCCTGGGCAACAGACTAAGACTACATCTCCAAAATAAATACACAAATAAAATAAAAAACAAATAGAAGAATGATCTCAAATAACAAGATGTTCAAAACTAATGATAATGATAATTTAGTTAATAATAGTTAAAATTAGTGAATCTCTATAAGGAAAGTAACTGCTCTAATTAACTCCTTACCTGATCAAAATGGTCAGCTGAAAATTTTCTAATGGATTCAATGTCTTTCCTTTTTAAGTATTTCTGATGAAAGAAAAATCAAAGTAAACTTGTCATTATGACACTTCGCTTCATAAACATGTTTATGCTATCAAATGACAAATAGATTTTGTGTCTTCTATTACAATAATAAGATTTAATAAAAATTCAATGTCTTGGCTGGGCGAGGTGGCTCATGCCTATAATCCCAGCACTTTGGGAGGCCAAGGTGGGTGGATTGCTTAAAGGTCAGGACTTGGAGACCACCCTGACCAACATGGTGAAAACCTGTCTCTACTAAAAATACAAAAATTAGTAGGGTCTGGTGGCAGGCGCCTGTAATCCCAGCTACTCAGGAGGTTGAGGCAGGAGAATCACTTGAACTCAGGAGGTGGAGGTTGCAGTGAGCCAAGATTGTGCCACTGCACTCTAGCCTGGGTAACAAAGCAACACTCCATCTCAAAAAAAAGAAAAACAAAATTCAATTTCTGCTGCCAAATGACACATTTTTAAAGCTAGTTACAGTGCTTATTTTTTCCAGGTATGCAGATCTTTTTTTTTTTTTTTTTTTTTCCATGGCATCTAGCTCTATCACCCAGGCTGGTATGCAGTGGCATGATCTTAGCTCACTGCAACCTCCACCTCCTGGGTTCAAGTGATTCTGCTGCCTAAGCCTCCTGAGTAGCTGGGACTACAGGTGCACACCACCACACCCGGCTATTTTTTGTAGAGATGGGGTTTCATCATGTTGGCCAAGCTGGTCTTGAACTCCCGACCTCAGGCGATCTGCCCGCCTTGGCTTCCTAAAGTGCTGGGATTACAGGTGTGAGCCACTGAGCCTGGCAAGCAGCTCTTATTGGAAATGGCTGTGAATGTATTCCACAGAAGATCCTTTATATATAATAAGCAGGATAAATGTTCAAAATGAATGTCTACAACTGAACTGTGAAAGAAAACTTTCAGACCAATAAGAGGATTCAGAATTTGATTATTTGAGGTTTCTTAAAATTCTACCTGTTTTGAAATTATCTCAATGTCTTTCAAGTGAGACACTATGGTTATCATGTTATATACCTTTAAAATGATCCAAACACAGTTTGATGTTTTGGGGTGTATTCCCCCTCCTTTCGAGAGTGTGATGTCTTATCAGATCCCCTATGTAAGAACTTGGAGTGAATTCCCTCTTCCCCTGAGGAATGTTACCTCAAACCTTATCATAACGCCCATGTGTGAATTACTGCCCTCAACTACTAGACTTCAAAAATACATATAAACTTAAGAGTTTCACAGACACTTTGATAGCACTGTTACTGGCTATACTCTGTCAACTGCTTCTGTGAAAACCAAGAGATGGGTGACACCCTGTTAGCCTTTCAGCTAACCTCTAAGGCTTGCCCACCCATACTGGCACTACCCTCTAGCATGGAGGGATCTTAGGTGCAGTCTATACTGTGGCGGTCAAACCAGCTTCTCCCAAAAACTGCTCACATAAGAGTACACCTCGAACTTTGATTAGACTTTACTTTTCCCAGAGGCCTGCTTCCATTCTAATAGAGCAAGCGGACTTTAATAATTTTGGAACTCACTCACTATGTAGTTAATACACCTCAACTATTTAGTGTATTTCCTGTGAGGTTTGTTCATACTATTCTCTCTCCCTCTCTCCTTTTTTTTTTGGAGATGGAGTCTCACTTCATCACCCAGGCTGGAGTGCAGTGGCATGATCTTGGCTCACTGCAACCTCTGCCTCCCGGGTTCAAGCGATTCTGCTGCCTAAGCCTCCTGAGTAGCTGGGACTACAGCACACCACCACACTCAGCTAATTTTTAAAAATATTTTTAGTAGAGACAGGGTTTCACCATATTGGCCAGGCTGGTCTCGAACTCCTGATCTTGTGATCCGCTCACCACGGCTTCCTAAAGTGCTAGGATTACAGGTGTGAACCACTGCACCCGACACTTATTCTCTCTCTCTTTTAAGCATTGTGAACCTAAGAAAATATTTTCTTTGTATGGCAATAAACCATGTGATTTGTGAAATCATACTTTGACCATCTTATTTCTACCATATACCATGCATCATTAGCTATATTCATGCCGCATTTAACTAGGTGTGGGAGGTATAAAAAGATGAAACATGATCCATGCTCCTGCAGTTCTTGTATCTACTTGAAGAAGAATGGACAAACTCAAAATGGTGTAGATAATATTAGGCAAAATATTATACTGAGCTTACCTGAACATATTTCTTTCTTTTTTATTTTTGAGAAGTTTTGCTTTTGTTGTCCAGGCTGGAGTGCAATGGCGTGATCTCCGCTCACCGCAACCTCCGCCTCCGGGGTTCAAGAGATTCTCCTGCCTCAGCCTCCTGAGTACCTGGGATTACATGAATGTGGCACCACACCCGGCTAATTTTGTATGTTTAGTCGAGACAGGGTTTTTCCATGTTTGTCAAGTTAGTCTTGAACTTCCGACCTCAGGTGATCTGCCCGCCTTGGCCTCCCAAAGTGCTGAGATTACAGGTGTGAGCCACCATGGCTGGCCTAGCCTGAACATATTTCTTATGTCTGGACTAGAGTATGAATAATAAATTACTTTTTTTTTTTTTTAGACAGAGTCTCACTCTGTCACCCAGGCTGGAGTGCAGTGGTATGATCTCGCACTTACTGCAACCTCTGCCTACTGGGCTCGTGATTCTCCTGCCTCAGCCTCCTGAGTAGCTGAGATTACAGGCATCCACCACAATGCCCAGCTGATTTTGGTATTTTTAGTGGAGAGGGGGTTTTGCCATGTTGGCCAGGCTGGTCTTGAACTTCTGATCTTAAGTGATCCGCCCGCCTTGGCCTCCCAAAGTGCTGGGATTATAGACATGAGCCACCACACCCAGCCTGACAATAAATTACTTTTCATTGAATATATGAAGTAAATAAAATGTAACAAGACTGAGTTCTGCTGGGCGCGGTGACTCATGCCTGTAATCCCAGCACTTTGGGAGGCTGAGGCAGGTGGATCACGAGGTCAAGAGATCGAGACCATCCTGGTCAACATGGTGACACCCTGTCTCTACTAAAAATACAAAAAATTAGCTGGGCATGGTGGCGCATGTCCATAATCCCAGCTACTCAGGAGGCTGAGGCAGGAGAATTGCCTGAACCCAGGAGGCGGAGGTTGTGGTGAACTGAGATCTCACCATTGCACTCCAGCCTGGGTAACAAGAGCGAAAACTCCATCTCAAAAAAAAAAAAAAAAAGACTGAGTTCTTACCCCATTGTGAGTATACTAATATGCTTATGTATGCAAATGAGCATAGACTTTCAAAATCATAATCTTATTCAAAATATATCTGGAATGCTTCTTATGAAATTACTTTTTTTTTTTTTTTTTTTTGAGACGGAGTCTTACTCTGTCACCAGGCTGGAGTACAGTGGCAAGATCTCGGCTCACTGCAACCTCCGCCTCCAGGGTTCAAGCGATCCTCCTGCCTCAGCCTGTTGCGTAGCTGGGACTACAGGTGCACACCACCATGCCCAGCTAATTTTTTGTATTTTTAGTGGAGATGGGGTTTCACCATGTTGGCCAGGATGGTCTTGATCTCTTGACCTCATGATCCGCCCGCCTTGGTCTCCCAAAGTGCTGAAATTACAGGCATGAGTAACCATGCCCGGTCATAAAATTACTTTTAAAGCAGATATCCTACTTACAGAAAAGAGATTTATACTATTGTTTTAGAGTCAATGCTTACTCAGTCCAACCATTCTCTCTCTTTCTCTCTTCTATCCCTACTTCCTCCCCTTCCTTTTTGCTTTATTAGCTCCATCTCCTTTTATTTCCCTGTTATTAATGCAATTGAGATGAGAACTCTCAGAAGATCAAGAATCAACATGTGATGGGCATACTGGAGCTGATACAGGGCTAAGAGACAGACAAACTGAGGCTGCAGACAGATACTAAGTATTATTTTATGCTCACATACTATCCACAATGAAGTACATGAGTACTTCATAGCATCATTTATTTACTTATTTATTTTTGAGACAGGGTCTTGCTCTGTCATCCAGGTTAGAATGCAATGGCACAATCACGGCCCACTTCAGCCTTGAACTCTTGGCCTCAAGTAATCCTCTGACCTCAATCTCTCGAATAGCTAGGACTACAGGTGTGAGCCACCACACCAGGTTAATTTTTGTTTTTTTTTTTTTGTAGAGACAATGTCTCTCTATATTGCTCTGGCTGGTCTCAAACTCCTGAGTTTAAGCGATTCTTCTGCCTTGGCCTCCCACAATGTTGGCATTATAGGCATAAGCTACTACGCCCGGTTTATAGTATTGTTTAAAAGGAAAAAAAAACACACAAAAAAAACCCCATCCTGGATCTGGAATGTAAACTCATATTCATAAGATTTTACTGTTCTCTACTTATAGTTTTAGAAACACTTTTAGACATTTTTTTTTTCACATGGAGTTTCACTCTTGCTGCCCAGGCTGGAGTGCAATGGCATGACCTCAGCTCACTGCAACCTCTGCCTCCCAAGTTCAAGCGATTCTCCTGCCTCAGCCTCCCAAATAGCTGGGATTACAGGCGCCTGCCACCATGCCTAACTAATTTTTGTATTTTTAGTAGAGACAAGGTTTCTACCTCTCAAGACAAGTTGAGGTCTTGAATTCCTGACCTCAACTGATCCACCTGCCTCAGCCTCTCAAAGTGTTAGGATTCCAGGCATGAGTCACCACACCCGGCAAAAATACTTATTTTTATTTAAAAAGAATTGTTCTTTCTGAAGTTCAAATACGACAGTGTCAAACATATTTACTTCCAAAGCATACATTCTAGAGAAACATAGAACAGTACTTCACTTACTGCTCCTTCAGGGATACATATGGCTTTGACAGTTCCATGGGGCTTACTAAGTGCATCTTGAAGAAATCCGATCTCTGTGTTTCTAAACACATCACTGATATCTATAATCTGGAAAATGAGTAACAAAAAGAGGTAACTAAATATGAAGTAATTTTTATTTGAAAACATTTAACAAACAAGATTTTAAAGAAGAGAATAGATCTTGATAATTTAACATTTATAGAATACATTCAAAGAGTATTTACCATGGGTTAAGCAATATGACCCATGTTTTACACATACTCATTCATTTCATCTGCACAAAACTATGAGGTTAGCACTCTTTATTATCCCTATTTCACAGATAAAACCAAGACACAGAGAAATAAGGAAATTGCCCAACATGGCACAGCTAGTAAGTGGTAGAGCCAGAATTTAACCCAAGCAGTCTGAGATAAGAACCACTATTCCAAGCCACGCACAGTGGCTTACACCTATAATCTCAGCACTTTGGGAGGCTGAGGCGGGAAGATCACCTGAGGTCAGGTGGTCAGCCTGGCCAACATGGTAAAACCCCATCTCTACTAAAAATACAAAAATTAGCCAATGTGGTGGTGCACGCCTATAGCCCCAACTACTAGGGAGGCTGAAGCAGAAGAATCGTTTGAACCCACGAGGAGGAGGTTGCAGCGAGCTAAGATTGTACCACTGCACTCCAGCTTGGGCAATAGGGCGAGGCTCCATCTTAAAAAAAACACACACACACACACACACACAAAATGGCCGGGTACAGTGGCTCACGCCTGTATTCCTAGCACTTTGGGAGGCCGAGGAGGGCAGATCACCTGAGGTTGGGACTTCGAGTCCAGCCTGACCAACAGGCGTGGTGGCGCATGCCTATAATCCCAGCTACTTTGGAGGCTGAGGCAGGAGAATCGCCTGAACATGGGAGGCAGAGGTTGTGGTGAGCTGAGATCACGCCATGGCACTCCAGCTTGGGCAAAAAGCTCGAAACTCCATCTCAAAATAAATAAATAAATAAATACAAATGAAAAAAGAACCACTTATTCCATATTACAAATGAAGAAACAAGAAGTAGTTGAGTTGGCAGCTGTAAGTTGGTAGTTACGATCTTTTGTATATTGTATTTTTTCATTCTAAGCATTGAGCACTGACTATTCACAAACCAAGCAGAACTCAATTTCTTTCTTTTTTTTTTTGAGACGGAGTCTCACTGTGTTGCCCAGGCTGGAGTGCAATGGCAAGATCTCAGCTCACTGCAACCTCCACTTCCTGGGTTCAAGTAATTCTCCTGCCTCAGTTTCCTGAGTAGCTGGGATTACAGGTGCGTGCCACCACACCTGGCTAATTTTTTATATTTTTGATAGAGATGGCGTTTCATCGTGTTGGCCAGGCTGGTCTCAAACTCCTGACATCAAGTGATCCACCCGTTTTGGCCTCCCAAAGTGCTGGGATTACAGGTGTGAGCCACCACGCCCACCCTGCAGTACTCAATTTCTAAAGAATGTGCACTGAAAACTTAGATATAGAAATGTCACCAGCATTACAGGGATCAAGGGTTATTGCTCTTTAAGAGCAAACAAGTAGAGGCCTGGTAATGAAACTGTTCTATATAAATTCTACCCCTGTCTTAAATACTTACAGATATTAATAATTTGAATCAAGATTGTCATGTTTGAGATTTTTATGGACCAAGGACACTTAATAACTGCTTGGCTTTAAAAACACTGAAAAGGAAAGAATAGTTATTTTTTCTTCCAAGTTACCATTCATGTCCATATAATCAATAACTTGCAAGTAATAAAAACTTTATAGCAAGAATCTTGCTCTTGGAACTGGATCTTGAACATGATAGAAAGAAAGCACTGTAATGCTAACATGCCATTATTCTCTCTTGCTCTAACCCTGTATCCACAAAGGTAACAAGGTAACAACAAAAATATCATCTAACCTTGTGTAACATTTGTCAATTTCAAAGTGGTTTAAAAAGACTGCAGGAGTATTTGGGGACAGAGTCCTAGAAAAGTGAAGAAATGTACCTTCATTCCAAAGCGAGTATCAGGTTTATCAGTTCCATAGGTGGCCAGCGCCTCAGCAAAAGTCATAGAAGGAAAAGGAACAACCACAGGGTCTTTGTCGTTGGGCCAAGAATACTGAAGCAAACCCTCAATTAAACTCTGGATCCCAGTCTGGTCTACAAAAGACATCTCTATGTCAATCTGAAAGCAAAGTAACATACGGAAACTAACTTAGCCAGAGTATATACACATTTATGTATTTTTCTGTTTTCAAGTTACTATGGAATTCTGCATATAAACAATACATGGGGAGGGTATAAATATTATTGGACATCTTTTTTATGTCAGACGCTGTCCTAATGGCCTTACATACATTAACTTGTTTAGTTCCCACAACTATCTCATGGCTGAAGACTCAGAGAACTAAATTACTTGTTTGCATATGTGTAATTACTAAGTAGTGAAGCTACATTTGATCCCAGGTCTGTCCAACTCCAAAGCTCGTAATTTTTTCACTTTACCACATTGATTAAAATGCTGTCAGCTGGCGGGTGGCAGCTCAAGCCTATAATCCCAGCACTGGGGGAGACCCAGGCGGGTGGATCACGAGGTCAGGAGATGGAGACCATCCTGGCCAACATGCTGAAACACTGTCTGTAAAACATGGCAAGGTTTCTCTTCAAACAGGCTGATCCTTTAATTCCCAGTACCCCCAACTCCTCTCTTTCTTCTTCTTTCCTTTTTTCTGCTTTTACTACATGCCCTGGTATACCACAGCACCAATGGTGCCATCAGCATCAGCTCACATTCCATTCCTTATTTGGGAAAAGATTGGCCCTCTAGCTCACCACAGACCACCCCTTTCCCCTCTCCCCTCTCCCCTCTCCCTTACGTGCCCACCTTATCTGAGAAAAAGTTTAAATGTTTAGCCTATCGGGTCTAGTTCAGATTGTGTCGTCCAACCCCAGCCAATGGGGAAAGGGCATGGGGCAGGATTTGCGTCAGGAGTCAAAACTTTCTCTCTCCTTTGTTCTATGTGCTGCTCTCTTGTGGCAATATGAGGGGCACACCTCTGCGCAGAAGTAAATTTGCTTTGCTGAGAAATCCTTTCTCTGAGTGCTGGTTTTCCTTACAACTCTGAGCTTTATTTATGACACTGCCTTTACTAAAAATACAAAAATTAGCCAGGTATGGTGGTGTGCGCCTGTAGTCCCAGCTACTTGGGAGGCTGAGGCAGAAGAATCTCTTGAACCTGGGAGGCAGAGGCTGCAGTGAACTGAGATCACGCTACTGCACTCCAGCCTGGGCGACAGAGTGAGATTCCCTCTCAAAAAAAAAAAAATCATAAAATAAAATAAAATAAAATAAAATAAAATGCTATCATACAGAAAGCAAATCATAATAGCTTTGGTAAGTACACATATTAGAAAGATTAAAATATCAATATATAGAACTATTCATTCTTAATATATAAGAGATTTGTTTTAAGGACCTTATCATGAACATTAGAATGCTTTAGGAATTTCTGGCATTCCTTAGTTGCTGACTATACTCTTTACGGAAACGACACATGTTCACTTTGGCAGCACATATACTAAAATCTGAATGACAGTGTGGCCCCTGTGCTATCCAAGGAAAGATAAAAATTTTAAAAAGGACACATGAAATGGATAAAAAAACTGAAGAGTTTCTCGACTGCAGGTGAGTTTAATTAAATAGCTAATGGATAAAATGTAATGAGAAGTAAAGCATTAATATATAAAATTACTGCATTAGTCTTGAAAATACTATTTTCAAAATAGCCTGAATTTTAAGAAACAAGTGAATATAACTTTGTACCTGAGTAAACTCAGGCTGTCTGTCTGGTCTTGAACCTTCATCTCGATAACATCGGGCAACCTGAAAATATCTACAATTGAGAAATAGCATTCACTGAGTTAATTTTACACTAATACACACTTTTTCCCAAAAGTTTAAGGAAATGCAGGCTATAAAATAATGATACCTAAAAAACATAAGAAATACTTTTATTTTTCATGACGATTTAATTGAATTACATATACAGCTGACCTATGAGAAGTTAACTATTTTATATATTGTTTTCAAAATAAACACTGGCACCTCTGGATATTCATATATTAGACTGGCATGCAAATCAGTCCATGCCAATTCTTTTTATGAAAACATTTATTTTAGTCCATGCTTCTTCACATATACTCTTTTGCTTTGGCCAAAGTGAAATACTTACTGTGCCATGGATACACTTGAGACTTTCTGTGCTATGTCATTCCAACTCTTATCTTCACCTGCTGAAGCGTAGCTCTATCCTCAAAGGCCTAACTCACAAAGTTTTCTATATTTCCTCAAACAATATAATTTTAAAGCTCTTAACACCTCATTTGCAAATCTCAATACATTTACATTTTGGTTTATGTCACAGATGGTTTTATTCATTATCCTAGTCTGGCTTACCAGCCTTAACACCTTGAGAGCAAAAAAGGGGATTTTTAAAAAATCCCCTCTTACATCTACTAGCATAGAGCTTTGTACATGCTGGCTACCCAATAAATCTTTAATAAATAATGACTAAAAATTATGAGGGTATTTTATAAGTATTCTCCAAACTCTCATCCTTCTCTTGAGAACAGAGAGGATTTTGTATTTCCTTTTTTCCCTTTGTTTTTCTCTTTTCCTTTTCTGACAACTGCTAGCATTAAAAAAAAGCCCACCTGTCTAAACCGCCAACCATCAGAAGTTGCTTGAACTGTTGAGGACTCTGAGGGAGAGAGTAAAACTTTCCAGGTTCCCTGGATGGTACTAAAAACTCTTTGGCACCCTTTCAAAGGGAGAGAGAGAGGAGACAGATTATTAAAAGAAAAAAAACCAAAAACCCAAGGTATAATTGACTAGTAGAAGTTGTTACTTCAGTTTATCAATGAATGACTAAAGAACAAAGTTTCTACAAAGACAGAGATAATTTCTCGCTTATCTTTGAGTCTCTAAAAAGGCTTGCGCATACTAGGCTTTAAACACCATTGCACGGGCAGGTGTTGAGTTTATGCTTGTTGAAATGAATTTCCAATTCTGTTACAAGCTGAATGAATTTTCTGTCTCATTTCTTATCCAAGTAATTCCTAATTGCATTTCCAAATGAAACTGTAGTTTTATAATTTCACAGACTGGATGAATCGAGTAAATATCAATGTTTAGAAATGTCAATTTTTTTTTTTGAGATGGAGTCTTGCTCTTGTTGCCCAGACTGGAGTACAGTGGCACAATCGCCGTTCACTGCAACCTCCGCCTCCCAGGTTCAAGTGCTTCTCTTGCATCAGCCTCCCAAGTAGCTGGGATTACAGGCACCTGCCACCATGCCTGGCTAATTTTTCTATTTTTAGTAGAAACAGGGTTTCACCATGTTGTCCAGGCTGGTCTCAAACTCCCGACTTTGTGATCCACCTACCTCGGCCTCCCAAAGTGCTGAGATTATAGGTGTAAGCCACTGTGCCCAGCCAGAAATGTCCATTTTTATTTATTTTTAAAAAATTCTTTTTTGAGACAGTCTCGCTCTGTTGCCTAGGCTGGAGTGCAGTGGTACAATCTCGGTTCACTACAAACTCTGCCTCCTGGATTCAAGTGATTCTCCTGCCTCAGCCTCTTGAGTAGGTGAGATTATAGGTGCCCACCACTGCACCTGGCTAATTTTCATATTTTTAGTAGACAAGGTTTCATCATGTTGGCCATGGTTGGCTAGGCTGGTCTCGAACTCCTGACCTCGGGTATCTGCCCACCTCGGCCTCCCAAAGTGCTGAGATGATAGGCATGAGCCACAGTGCCTGGCCAAGAAACGTCAATTTTTAATATGCAAGAGATTTGTTCTTAAAAAAATTTTTTTTTCTTTTCCATTTTTTTTTTTTTTTTATTTCAAGAGGGTGTCACTACGTTGCTCAAGCTGGTCTCGAACTCCTGGGCTCAAGTGATCCTCCTTGCTTCAGCCTCCCAGTACTGAGACTACATGTGTGAGCCACTGAGCCTGGCCAGGAGATTTGTTCTTAAAGAATCAATTCATTGGCCAGGTGCACTGGCTCACACCTGTAATGCCAGCACTTTGAAAGGCTGAGGCGGGTGAATTACCTGAGGTCAGGATTTCGAGACCAGCCTAGCCAACACAGCAAAACTCCATCTCTCCTAAAAAAATACAAAAATTAGCTGGTCACGGTGGTACGCACCTGTAGTCCCAGCTACTTGGGAGGCTGAGGTGGGAGAATTGCTGGAACATAGGAGGTGGAGGTTGCAGTGAGCCTATCACCCCACTGCACTCCAGCCTGGGTGACAAAGCGAAACTCCATCTCGGAAAAAAAAAAAAAAAAAAACACACAAAAAACAAAGAACCAACTTATTCATGATTTACATCTGTAAACCTCAAGGGAGGCAGGGTGAGGTGTCTCACACGTGTAATCCCAGCACTTTGGGAGGCCGAGGTGGGCAGATCATTTGAGGTCAGGAGTTCGAGACCAGCCTGGCCAACATGGTGAAACTCCATGTCTACTAAAAATACAAAAGTTAGCCCGGCATGGTGGTGCATGCCTGTAATCCTAGCTACTCAGGAGGCTGAGACATGAGAATCGCTTGAATCCGGGAGGCAGAGGTTGCAGTGAGCTGAGATCGTGCCACTGCACTCCAGCCTGGGTGACAGAGTGAGACTCTTGTCTCAAAACAAAAAAAACAAACAAAAAAAACCCCCAAAAACAAAACAAAAAACAAACAAACAAAAAAAACTCAAAAGAAAGAAAACTTATGTGGAATAGAACAATTCTGACTCAAAGTACCCAAATACTTTTCTCAATTCTTCAGAAAAACCTAGTTAATATGACCATCCTGAGGCAGTGAATAAAATAAAAGTGGATCCAGTGAATATAAAAGCAACGTGGTCTAGCTTTATAACTAACAGGACATTATTAACAGACTGATTGAAGGAATACACATACCCCTGGGGTCCTCTTAAACAATGTTGGAGTTTCTATATCCACAAACCCTAAAAAGAGAGAAACATCATTTAGTAGATAGGAATGTAAAATTTGTCATATATGATGTCCACAATATAGTACAACAAATCTGAGGCTTCCCTTTAATTAGGAATTTTAGCTGAAATAAGCTACCAAGCCTACTGATGCTGGTTTTTACAAATCTAAGAAGGAAGATGAAGATTTTCATAAATACTATTCTGTTCATAAAGCATACTGTACACATAAAATAATTCTAAATATTTAATGGATTCTTGTCTACTGAACTGTTCTGATTTTTTAAACATTCTGCTAGTATAGAAATAAGACAAATATAGCAGAAAAAGTCCAGGACTGAATGAGATGTCTAGTTTAATTCACATGACATTTTTGAGCTCCCAGTAAATGATGTATGTGCATGATAAAGAATTAAGAAGACTGGCCGGGTATGGTGGTTCATGCCTGTAATCCCAGCATTTTGGGATGCTTAGGTGAGAGGATTGCTTGAGCCCAGAAGTTTGAGACCAGCCTGGGCAACATAGTGAGACCCTGTCTCTCTAAAAATTTTTTT